TCCCCACTTTTTTCCATCTCTCCCACCATTCTCATTTTCCCCATCTGTCACTTTCATTCCATCTGTTCTTCCCTCTGCTTGTCAGCTTCTTCCCTCCCTCCACTCCCCATTTAAGTCCATTTTTCTTTCCACCCTCCCTCTACTCCTGTTTTGCTGCTTCTGTCCTCTGCAGTCATAACAGCTTTGTAGATTTTTGTAGACTCAAGATATAATTTCAAAATCTGTGGAAGTATATTCTTACCAGTGCTACCCATGCCAAAGAACTCTAGCACTCCCATACAGGATGGATGAAGGCACACTTTCTCAATATGGATGCACAGATGCACCTCTGAGTCTGTGGTGCAGGATTGCACACATTACCTTGTTGCATTCAAACATGTCTGTATTTGGGCTAATGAGAGATAACATCAAGGATATCACCAATAAAGAACAAGGAAACTCTATGGGAAAGATAAATATTAAGACATGCTTAGTTCAGCATCACTGCCCTCATTCTTTTAAATTATTCCTATGTTTGTGAAACAGATTAAATCCTTGTGGGTCCCTTGCAATCCCTTGCATTCAAACTATTATGTACTTATATAGTTAATTATTTTCAAGGGCCTAAAACAATGGAAATCTTTCTGTAATGCTTTCTTTCCACAGGTTTACTACGGATGGAGTGGAGAGTAAGTTATGTTCTTTATTATTTTTAAAGTTTTATTGCAAAATTACAAAATATGTCGTAGAGTAGAAATTAGTCTCTAACACAATTAGTCTCTAACAGTGAGGGTTAGACCCAATACCTTTTGAAATGGCCCTCACAGGGATCTACTCCAGGCTCTGCCCACACTGACAGTGAGAAATTAAAATGTTCAGGTAGTGGGGAGGCTTCTAACTGGTTCTGTCCGTAAAAGGCAGGGGAAAGGGAAAGGGCCCTTTCCAGGCCTATTCTGTCCTTTCAGGGAGGGATCCTTAGGGCCAGGCCTGACAAGAGTTGACAGTGCCAGGCTGGAAAATTCCTAGAGATTTCTATGGTGAAGTCTAAGGAGGGCTGGATTTGGGGACAGGAGAAGCCTCAGCTGGATATAATGCCACAGAATCCAGCCTCCAAAGCAGCCATTTTTTCCAGGGAGAGAGATCTCTGCTGTCCAGAGTTCACTTGTAATTCTGGAGGGTCTCCAGGTCCCACTTTGAGGTTAGCAACCCTAGGGCTGGCAGCAGTCTAGGGTTGCCAGGTCCCCCTGGCCACTGGCAGGGGAGGGGGGGTAAGGTTGCCAGATCCAGATTGGGAAACTCCTGGAGATTTGGGGGTGGACCCTGGGGAGGATAGGGACCTCAGTTAGGTACCGAACCATACAGGGGTCATTTCGTAGAAAAAGAGCTAGGGGAACTCATTAGCATAACTCATTAGCATATGCCACACCCCCTGACATCAGGGGCCCGGCGGTGGACCGGCAAGGCTGGCGGGAGTGCGAGGAAGCTCTGCAAAGGCCCTCCCTGGCCCCAGGCAGGCAGGGGTGGGGAGAGGTGAGAAGGAAGCAACTTACCCTCCCTCTTCTCCTGCCTCCTCCTGGCTGAATGAGGGCTGGAAGCGGGGCGGCCGGAAGCAGGGGGCGGGCTTCATCGTGTGCCCCGCCCCCCGCACCTCACCCGGGGGAACTGCGTTCCCCCCCGAAATGACCTCTGGAACCATAGCATCCATTTTCTCCATGGGAAGCTATTTCTGTAGTCTGGAGATAAGCAGTAATTCCAGAGGTTCCCCAGGTCCCACCTGGAGGCTGACATCCCTAGGCAGCACCCTCTGGGTGACTTAATACCACCTGATTTGCATGACTCAACTAGGCCTGGCTGCTTGCTACTCTTCAACAGCAGCCACCCTATGAAAGCCAGTGTGGTGCAGCAGTTAGAGCTTTAAAGTAGGGTCTGCAAGACCCAGGTTCAGATCCCCATCTTGAGGTGGAAGCTGACTGGATGATTTTGGACCAGTCACACCCTTTCATTATTATTTTCAATTTATATCCCACCTTGCCTGCACAGGCAGCCTAACCAACCACACAGGGTTGTTGTGCAGATAAAAAGGAGGAAAAATAATGTAAGCTGCTTTGGTCCCCTTCATGAAAACTACCATTGCCAGCTTCAAGGTGAAGGCTGGAGATCACCCAGAATTGCAACTGTCGTCCAGGTGAGGTGGGGAGGCACAAAAACAAAGAGATTGATGAGGGGGCAGAAAGAGAGAGGAAGTAACATGCATGGAGGAGAGATAAAGAGTAAGAAAAGGAGGGCAGAAGGCAGAAAGCATGTGAGAGAGGTAGGGGGAGAGGGAAAGAAGCAAAGGTATGAGGAATGGGATAACCATCCCGCAAGTTGCTTGTGGGTCTCCACTTGTACATATCTAAAAGGCTCTATTATGACCCTTAGGCTGACATGCTAGAATTGTCTTGAGCAAACAGATAATTCCAAAATGGGCTTTAGTTTTTTTTAATTGTTATTATGGTTTTTCTTGACACACCATCTGCACTGGCTGCCTATTGTGTACCGGATCCGATTCAAGATGCTGGTACTTACCTTTAAAGCCCTATACGGCCTGGGGCTAGCATACCTTCAGGACCGCCTCTCCTCATACGAGCCCCACAAGAACTTACAATCTATTAATCAACACCTCCAGGGACGTCTGACTTGCTCCTACCTGGGGGAATGAGCTTCCACTAGAAATAGGGACCTGCGGGGCCTATTACAGTTCTGCAGGGCCTGCAAGACAGAGCTCTTCTGCCAGGCTTTCAGCTGAGGCAGCAGGGCACCAACCTGCTATTGGCCTCCCCTCCAGTGACCTCAGATCCGAATGGCCACCTGGGAAAAAACTGCTTCTTACTGAAATCTGTTGAGCCCCTGATCTTTTATTGATTACTGTTTTTAGATAGGTTTTTAGATATATTTTAACTGGAGATGCACCCTGAGCCCGCTTGCAGGGAGGGTGGGATACAAATCAAATCAAATAAATAGTCTCAAGAAGAAAATAAGGCAATGTCTTACTAGGTATCTAATGGTAGATGTTTGCAGCTTGTTAATACCAGTTGCTTTTCTTTTGATATGAGTCTTTTAATAAGAGACAAATATACCAAGCAAATTTTTAAAAGTAAATCAGTTTCTGTTTTAAATGTGTTAAAAAGGGCAATACATTCTTCAACCTTTAAAAAGTAAGAAAAAATGATCATGTTTATTTTAATTTCTGGCTCCTCCTCTTTGTGTACTTTTTTAAAAGTCATCCATGGAAGATTACCTCATTTATACATCCATCACATCCCCTTTGCTGGTTTCCTTCCTTCTCTTTCTCCCCTTGCATGTTTCAGAAGATTCAGATGCTGAGATTTCTTTCTATTCTCTATAGTCAGTCACCTCACACCTTTCCATAAGTGTAAATATTGTCGTCAGCCTCCTCATTTATCAAGCTTTCTGCACTAACAATATCTCCTCCACCATGCACAACACTTCTTGCTCCTTCCATTCCCCCCAAATTCATTTAATCATGACTTCTTTGCTTTTGAGCTCTGCATCTCCTGCCTCTTCAGGCATCTGAAGTAGCATTTTCCTCTATTCATGAAATCTTCAAATTTTGAGATCTTCTTCGACATTCACTTACAAAAAACCCACAAAACTTTGCTGATCTAGCCAAGCCTAACATTCTTTGTAGAGATGCCGTCAGATTTCCCTAGGAGACTTCTGTCCTGGCAAAACATCCATAGCTTTTGTGAGGAAGCAAAACTAATTTTTATAAGTTTAGCATTTGTTTTCCTGGGGATTTTTGCACATCGCTACATTCCCTGCTTTTCTATCACTGTCTCAGTTTTCCCAACCTGTATCCACTTCTAAATTCTCATGCTCTATAGTCTTACTCAACCTTGTTCCTTTGTCAGTTTACACCTAGCACACCTTTTGGTGTTGAATACATGATAAGTAGTAATAACAGCAATAATTCCAGTTTCTATATAGTTGCTGCTGTCATCATTGTGTGTAAGGATATGTCTTCCAAACCTGTGTCAGGTTTATGAAATAAATAAGAGACTAAAAAAAAGAAGTAATATCTATTTTTATAGTATCACTTTAGTTGTAATAGTCTCATTTTGGGGGAAAGCCTAGGTTTTAATTTGTGGACTAAAATGCTGCCAATAACTTTTCTATATAAGGAAAAGAATACTTTTATTTATTTAAAATATTTATATCCTGTTTTTTCCCAATCAGAGTTCTTTTACACTCAGTTCAGACTATGGTTTCTGACTCTGGTTCGCCAGTAGAACATAAATTATGGTTTGTCAGTTGAGACATCATGCCAAGCTGTAGTTAAGCTTCCTCCAATAGGATCATAACTTATTTTTTTATACAGCTTAGAATTTGGTCCACAAAGTAAATGTCTGTTGAAATTAGTTTTGCCTCCCAGTTATTTGTCTGTTCAGATTTTACAACATTTTAGATGTCACGGGTTAATGAACCAGTATGACTATAACCTTAGTGCCATAATGTAGTTAATGGGATGCATAATGACGGGAGATAGAGTTGAGAAAATCATGCCATTGAGATCTCTCATGAAGCATAGTGGGCAGTAATAAGTGGGTTTTGTTGTTGTTGTTGTTGTTATCCCTGAAGTGCAGTTCACAGTTCTGCAACTGTTGGGGATACTGAGTGTCCTTGAGTTGAATATTGTCTGTCATTTTCTGGTCCCCAGTATAATTATGTGTTATTTTATTGATAATTTACACAGGCTACATTTGTACTTTACAACACAGTAAAAATAATTCCTCTCCATAGAATACTAAGCCAGCCACTTTGTTTCATGACAGTCTTAAATGCATAGTGCTTGTAACAGTCCATTTATCTTTGCTTCTCTTACTTAAAATAATAATCCTTTAAAAATAAATTTCAGAAATCTCATCCTCTTTAAAAAACCCTCAAGATCTGCACCATCATTACTCAGGTAAGCAGTAAATATCTGAATGGTAACTGCATTGCATTCGTTGATAAGCACATTAATTCTGTTCTGCTGTCAATTCTGATACTCCCTCTTTGACGTGGCTCACTATCAAGAGCAGTATATTAAGATGATTTCTAATGCAGGAGCCAGACAAGATTAAGAATAGTTATTATTTTTGCACTTGCTTTTCCATATCAAATAATTGTTGGGAAAATGTTAAGGGGGATAAAATAAATACTGGCAGGGAACAAATTACAGATCCACAGCCAAAGATGTCACTAGGAACTGAGAAATTGTTCCTGAAAACACAAAAACAACACTTTGCTTATAGTCTTCACCTCCTGCTTGTGATGAAAATAGTCTTTATTGTATACTTATGCAGTACCCATCGTGTGCCAGAGTTACAGTTAATAAGTATGAACAAGGTGTGTTTCATGCCGTACGTGCCTAGGAATGCTTCCAAAAATTTTCCTTTATCCAAATTTCAGCCTGTGTAATGAATTTATATGTATTACCAAATAAAATTTAAAAAATACAACAAACTTCAGCCTGGACTTTGGAGTTCTGAATGTACCCAGTTGTGTTTCCAGTGTGGAACCAGTGTGTTCAGAATATCACATATGTCTGCTTTTGATTTCCCAACTCCTGCACAGTTTGCCACAGCATCAGCTCCTTCTGTTGTTACATATCTTTCCTCTCTACATTGCCAATCTTTACCTGTATATATTGTTATAAATTGCTTTTTGCAGTGTTTTGAGTCATTGTACAGATGGTTGTATCAAGTTGCATTTCCACAGTGTTTTACAAATACACAGTAGCTCAACAGCACATTAGTATAAAGGTTCCCTTGCTCGACAGCCAGTCGAATCCGACTCTAGGGTTGCGGTGCTCATCTCCGTTTCAAAGCCGAAGAGCCAGCGCTGTCCGAAGACGTTTCCGTGGTCATGTGGCCGGCATGACTAAACACCAAGGCGCACGGAATGCTGTTACCTTCCCACCAAAGTGGTACCTATTTATCTACTTGCAATTTCTTGCTTTCGAACTGCTAGGTTGGCAGGAGCTGGAACTAGAGATGGGAGCTCACTCCATCATGCGGCACCCGGGTCTCGAACTGCTGAACTACTGACCTTCCACAGCCTGCAGTTCAGCGTCTTAACCACTTGAGCCACCGCACTACACAAAAAGAATTTTCATGAAATCATATTATGAACCTATCAAGACTGTTTCGCCAATGTACACAAACATGTTGTTAACACAGAGGAGAAAAAAAGATACAAATGAACAGAAATAACAGAAAGTTACAGCAATCAAAGTTACATGCTTCAATTTGGGAATTAATTTTATAAATGCTCCTAGTTAAGATAGAGTCAAGGACAAATAAAATAGTGTAAAGATAAATCCAAGGACAAATAAAGAAACAGAATTAGGGAAGTCCCCTCATCCCTGCGTTGTCTATGAACAAGAAGTAATTTAGTACAATAAGTAGCTATAGTAAACAAGCCAAGCAAACTGCCTCAGTATCAATTATATCACGATGTGTTGAAGCACTGGTTTGGCTCACATCATGAATGCATGTTGCAGTCATGGAGCTTACCATTTGATGAGCAGCTTGTGAACAGTTGTAACACAGCCTGTTAGCACATGCTCAGAAAAAGCATAACCCTCTCCTACTGTGCACTGCACACTACTTCCAATTGTTTAAAGGATGAATTCTGTGGAAATAAATACTATCATGAAAAAGAATGTAAAGGGAAAGGGAAAGGTTCCCTTGCTCGAAAGCCAGTCGAATCAGACTCTAGGGTTGCGGTGCTCATCTCCGTTTCAAAGCCGAAGAGCCAGCGCTGTCCGAAGACGTTTCCGTGGTCATGTGGCCGGCATGACTAAACACCAAGGTGCACGGAACGCTGTTACCTTCCCACCGAAGTGGTACCTATTTATCTACTTGCAATTTCTTGCTTTCAAACTGCTAGGTTGGCAGGAGCTGGAACGAGAGACGGGAGCTCACTCCGTCATGCGGCAACTCGGGTCTCGAACTGCTGAACTACCGCCTGCATTTCAGCATCTTAACCACTTGAGCCACCGCCGCTCAGATTAATTGAGGATTTCCTTCTGGTTGCTGGAGAGGGAGGTGCTACTGAGGTGTTTCTGGTTTGTTAGGGCCATTGATTTAAATAGGTCACTCTAATAAGTGTCTATGTTCAGGAGGAATTCTTTTATTTTAAAACTCTTCTAACTAATTAAAAAGAATTTTGTGTCTTGACATTTTAATTTTTATATGTGTCTGTCTGACAGCATTGTTAATGGCTGCTGATCTTTTTGGATGTAGAACTGCTTGCATATACACTTTCTCGTACAGCTTGGAAAAAAGTCATAGTCCCCCCCATTACTGGGGGGGGGGACACTTCATTGACTTGACCCACCCATGACCCTTGGGGGATTGATTTTCCGAGCTGGGCTGACACAAAAGCAGCATAAAGGAATATAACCTATCTACCACAGCTCCAGTCTCAAATCTGTCCAGTTCAATGCTTGAGTTGGACAGCAAACGGTAAGGATGAGATGAACCAATCCAAGGTTTGACTCATGGGTAAGGTCAGGGACCAGCTATTAAGGCCATTGGGAAGAGGCTTGGTGGGCTGATGACCTGGGGAGCTGCCCCCTCGCTAGAACCTCCAGAACCCAGGGGCCACCCCCATTACCATTTGTGTGACCATCACTGCTCTGTGGGGCAGTCTTAGGAAATTGTCTGCATGGGGTGATTTCCTGACCCATCCTTTAGCTTATGTAACACTATTACTTCCTGAGAACAGCTGACACTCAGACTCTTATGCTCTTCTTATCTCTTTCCACATCTTCTTCTACTGGGGGGGGGGGATTTCCATCCCTGAGCTGAGTCTCCCTTAACCAGTTTGTAAATGCCATTTTCTCTTATCCTTATCTGTTTGGTGTTGGGCCTTATGTCCCCTATCCAGGTTCTTTGCAAGGAGGAAGAAAAATATGACAAAACATTCTTTCCTCAACTGAGGCTGTGTTTTATGATTAAAGGTCACCAAAGACAACAATGACCACAATTGTGCACCTCTAATCACAAAATAACACAGCCTCAAACAAGGAAAGAAAGAATGTTTAGTTATATTATTTATTTCTACTTTTTTCTCTTTTCCCCCAAAGTCAGAGCCTGGTCAGCTTCAACCTTGCCACAGATAACTGCCCAGCCCAGTCCCACACAGTTTGGCTTGTTATTTTTTTCTTCTTCTAAAAACTACAAGAAAATAGGGAAAGGGAAACTATAAACTACAGGTGAAAGTAAAAATAAACCATATAATGGTTACAATAAAATAGCTTTAGATTAAAAAAAATGAGTAACTTATTACGTTGAAAGTGATAGTTAAAGTCGCTTAAGTAATTCAAGTCCAGATATTCTGACTTAGTAAAGAACAATATACAAGAATGATTATATAATAAGAATCAAAAGTCAAACTTCGAAGAAAATTAGAATCTCATTTGCCTCTTCTTTCCCTCAATCGATATCCTTGCTTGGGGGCAGCTGCCCCACATTCCGAATCCAAATCTTCTCCAGTACATGTTTAATCTTCACTCTCCTTGTTGCTCTTCTCATCCTCTTCTCCTGTTGGATCCAATTGTTGCTGCAGAAACTCTCTTGCTTTCATAACAGAGTCAATTCTTTCCCTCTTATATTTAAATTTGAAGAGTATACCTTCGGGTAAAATCCATTTGTAGGATATGTTGTTCTCTTGTAGAAACAAAGCCAAGTCTCTGTAGTTTTTCCTTTTCCCCCTTTTTTCAAAGGGAATGTCTTTCAAAATTCTTATCTCCTTGCCATCAATTTTAAGGGTAGTTCCATTTGTTGCTTTTAGAATCTGATCCTTCACATATCTTCTGGAGAATCTTACCACCACCTCGCCGGGCAGATTATTTTTCTTTATGTATTCTGAATATGACCGATAGATCACATCCATTTCACTTAGAAGAAAATCCGCTTTAAAATCTGCAACCGGTCCCAAAGCATCACTCAAAATCTGTTTAAGATTCTCACCTTTAGTCTCAGGAACTCCCTGGAATCTCAATATGAAGCTTGCCTTCTCCATTTGAAGCTGTAAAAGCTGGGCTTCATCAGAGTTTTTCTTTTTTTCCCACCTCCTGCATTTGCTTTTTGAGCTTTTTGGTGTTGGCATTCACTTCTTTGAGACTTTCAGCTGTTTGCTCTGGTTTTTTTAAAAAGTCTCATCTAGTTGCTGTTGCTGTGCATCGAAGTTTTGATTAAGTGTCTTCATTTGCTCCAGCAGGGGTCACAATACTTCTGTTAGCATCTTAGAGAAGTCTGTGGTTATTTCCGGTCGCATGACCGCACTCTGTGAGCTAGCACTTCCTGGAAGAAGCTTAAGTTTCGTTTGCTTATCTTTCTCTGGCATCTTTGAAGATGTTTACATTTAACAAAGTTTGCCAAAAGTCTCTGAAGTCTGCAAATTGCCAGTAATTCTCCCGTAAGTTCCTTACTATAGCCCCATTTTGCTTTCAGTCCCGCCCCCTTTAAAGGCATGTTTTAAGTCCATTTTTGTTTCCACGGGGGGGGGTGGTCCTGCCCCCCTTGCTTACTTTAAGGGGGACTTTCAGTCATTTCTCTGGTTCTCATTTCAACTGAACTCACTCTCAATGTTGATCAGGTAGATCCCACCATTAAAATGTGTAAAATGCTCAACCTCCACTCGCTTGTCCTGGTGTGCGTCTCTGAATCCAGTACTGGAACACAGTGGCGAGACCTTCGGGGCATCGGAACGCCTCAATCCACTGGCAGCGTGCCGGGGGGGAGGCAATCCTTAGTGCCCCGTGGCTAGGAGCCCTTTGGAAGGGCCCCAGGGGGGGCGTGTACAATTGCATCCCCTCTCATCCACCAGCTTATGGATCGCATCCTCGGGAGTTCCCGAGAGACACATCCACCATTAGATCGCCAAAACCGGAAGTCCATAACACACCTATTTTTA